CGCAAAAGGCATGTGCACGTGCTCCAGTACCACATTTCTTCGAAGGATGCGTCTTCAGTCTTCGGGGTCACCAATGTGGGGGTTCTATGTAGATGTCGAGGTGGATAAATGATGCGCTTCATTTTATTTGGAGATATATAATTCTGGTACCAGTTACATGATATATACTTAAAAATGACGACCTACTAGTTCGGTTGCGGGGAGACGACTACCGTGCGACGCCAGCGCACGTACGCGCTTGGGAACACAAAAGTACAGCGTCAACAGTGTGTCCCTACACTGTGTTGTCACGTAATGTAAGACGTGACGGTGGCGCCATCTATTGTGCTCCTCGAGCACTACACTTGTTAAATTTTATTACGCACATTAGACCTGTCTCACGAAGCTTTCCACAGTTGTTTGAGCATTCTAATACGTGTATTTATTTCGAAATCTATTGCGAATCCAGCAATAGTCCGTAGTATAATGTTATTACTACAAGAACAACTTTTTGAGATATCATTTTCTTTTTATTTGTATAATAAAATCGTTTGACAAACTGCTGCAAATAATTCCCGTAATAATCTTTTAGTCACGACGCGACGAAATAGTTCTAGGTTGATAGATTTTATTTTTATCAAATTAAGCAATCATTTAATATTATGGCCGATAATAAATAATAATACAGTGATCTTTATAGTTTTATTGCGTGCTTGTAAACGATAGTCAATCACAATGTGATTTGTGATGACGCTCAATTACTTTTTGACTTCCGATAAAACATGTTACATTATTTGCAGAACCATGAACAAAAAAGTAAGTACGATAAAGCGTAGAAGAAAGATAATTGATAAAAATAAAACCCGAGGACACTTGTACAATCGACCATTTTTAGGAGCCTCGAGCGAAACAATACTAAGGCCACAGATATCTAAGAAGTTTTTCTTATAAGCTACTTGTACATAAAATCGGAGTACGTACCCAAAGCGACAGCCCAAACAGCGTCGTAGGCCAGGGGTGCCTCTTGATATCCCTCCGGATATCTCTCGCCGTCGATGTCGTAGCCAGCTTCGCGCAAAGCCCCGTTCAGCCTCGTCCTGTTTAGATAAAAACAATGTTTTTGTTGTATCAAATCAGACGGCCTACTTCTAAAGGAAATACAGAACAAGGATTTAGGATTTTGTTTGATTACGCTGTTTTTCTGTTTATCATTAACTCCGTATCGTGTTACATTGGAAAAACAAAAGAAATGTTCTTTTCCAATAAATTGATGCTTCATTTGTTTAGGGTGATTTGGTTTTTTAATTAAATAAACGGACACGTAGCTGGAAAATGTTGTTAGTGGCAATCCAGGTTTCGTATTGCGCACTAATGATTACCCGCATTATTAAATTTCATTCGAAAGGTATAATCGATTAAACATTCTCAATTACATGTTGTGTTTCGATAACCAGAAATTCTACGCATTGTTTAGTCATGCTAATATTTGGTTGCGTGTTTGTAATTAGACAATCATTTGCGAAATTACTACCAATGAAGTTTTTATTCCACACTGATTGAAAATCGACGGCATTTTGGGTGTACGGGTACAATTTGCCTGTATACTACCGTTAGTTGAGTTGAGTTGATTGTTGAGTATGGTGATGGATGAATGAATACTTTTCACTTACTTATGGATGGTTTATTATCCGCCAGTTATAATTTAGGAATAGTTTTAATGATTCTCACAGATTCGCTTGTTTTACGTTGGCTGTTGTACTTACACTGAAGTCAGTTTTAATAATCATTACGAACTAAATAAATCGACCGAAGTAAGCATTTACTTAGCTTGATATCGTGACACGAATGTACGTAAACCGTACATTGGGAAAGTAATTTGTCTAGCGTAAGAATTGAAGAGTTCAAAATTGACATGAATTCTTTTAAATATTTAGGTATTAAAAATGATTCTTTGTTAGTAGTCTCCAAAAAATGTTGTAACGTAGCTACTTTAAAAATACGACATAATTTTATTTATTCTACAAGTTATTTTTACCTAATATATTTTAAGTAAGACTTGTTCCATTCCGTTGGACTAGTCACTCGAGCCTTTGAAATTTAAATTGTCAATAGACATTTGAAATTGAATGTTGCTAAAAATATCTTTTTGTACGTGACTCTTAGTTACTCCACGTTTTAGATTACTGGATTTAATAAAAATACATTTTAACTTGTATTAAATAATTTGGACTTATTGAAGAGGCAGAATTAATGCTATCCGAAAATATAGGTGTTCGTCTCATGGATATTAAGTGAGCATTTATATAGGGAGCGTTCACTTAAATACTAATGCTATGCAAATAAGTAAACGGTTTGTTTTCTGTTTCGAAGAATGTTTTGATTTATTTTAATATAGATAAATAAAATAATTGACATGCATTTTTTTAATGGGACAAGCCCGCCACAACCTCCTCAAACCGCTGCAACTCGTGTAAGCCAGAATCTACAGTAGATACAACCATGAAAACACCGGAACACTGAAGTCCGGCGCATCCTAGGAACATGAATAACTGTCTTGGTTCCCGCAACCAAGTGAATCAGAACATATTTACATGAATTTCAATCAATTGACTGTTTTAGGCTGTTGATGATAATGATGAAGATTACGATTGCCTTCTTAGTTAAATGGTAGCAAGTAGGTACCACTAGCCCTCTAGGTATCAAGCAATTGAACTTGTATTTATTTTGTTTTGATGATTATTAATTTTGTGTTTGGCTCTAAAGTTTGTATTTTATTTACGCATTTAAAAGAGTAGCAGCGCGACCGTCGCCGCGTCGCGGGTCGCGAAATGCTGCTCATGAATATGAGCAGAGCATGGCTTGAAACTAGTCGAGTTCCTCGTCAAACAATTACGTGAGTAAGCCGAAAACATAATAATTTACTTAGGTATGTCTCACGAAAGTTATAATACAAACATAATTTGAATCCAAGGTTGTATTAGAAAATCTCGACAGCATAATGTAGCTCAAAAATAACCCAACTTTATAATATTCCCCCCGTTTCAAACAAAACTAGTTACAGCAAAATATAAATACATGACCGCGTAAAAACTGGTGGCAGTACGGACTGTAAACTCAAAACAGTACTCTAGGGGCCTGGAAATATGAGTGGTTACACAATACAACGGTATTACACTTGCAATGACGTAGTGTATACGTACTCGTATATTTTGTTCGCTTAGCAACAGCGATGAAAAGCTTATTGCAGTGAAACCCGGTGAGAGACCGACAGTACTTAGCTTTGTTTAGAAGAAGTACGGCGGCATTCATTCTTTTACTTTTTCTAAGAAGTGTGTTGCAAAGGATACGAGGATTGGTATTCCAGCTTTGAAATATTAACAAACGTATGATGTAAGAGTACGAACATCCTTGAGCTCCAATTTCGCGAAGATGGAATGCGTTTTTCTTCAGTGTAAATTAAAAGTCGTGTCAAAAGTGAAGTGGGTTTATGATCGTGGCTCCGGCTCTTTGCTCTAGTTAAAGTTTAAAAATGTGAGATTTTAAGAGAGTGAAGAATTATTGGGTTGCTAGCATGGTTTTTCAAAGTTGACGCTTGGTAAATAGTATTTAATTTCAACGCTGACTTTAGATACGACATAAGTAAAAAATCATGCATTATTATAAAAAGATAGCCCTCATAAAGTCACCAAAAAATGTTTAATTACTCAATATATATTGTGCAGATTAATTAAACAATCTATACATATAAATAAAATTGGAATGTTTCATTGTTATACCTCTATTAAAATAACCGTACAAATAACTTTTTACTACATTTGTATAAATATTACATACGATAAACATACCAATATAACATTTTTTACAATTTTGGTCTGTCTGTAAGTCTATTTGTCTGTCTGTTTGTCTGTTTCTTTGTACTGGCTAATCTCTGAAATGGCTGGACCGATTTAGCAAGACTTTTATTGGCAGGTAACTGATGTACTAAGAAGTAACATAGGCTACTTTTATTTTGGAAAATTTAAAAAAAAGTTAAGCTCTAAAATTTATAGTCTACGCGGACGAAGTCGCAAGCAACAGCTAGTAAATAATACATACCTATTCTAGAGCAAATATCGAGAGTCAATTATTTCCAATACCATTAGTAGCATTACTCTCTCGAGAGACAGCGAATTGATATTCTATCTCCAGAATATAATGTTGTACATTATTTTATATTCAGCCCATTAATTCTCGCCGCAGAGACAAGCCTATATAGTACATGTATAAGAGGATTTAGTGGGAATTTTGACCGGATTATTCTTATCCTAGTCTAGCGACCCCCGAGCTTAGCTCTTAGCTAAACAGAAATTGATAATACAGTACGTGTACTGAGCGTTTTTAAAAGGTCTCTTGTAGGTCTATGTTGAGAATTTTATTTATTTTTTTGTTTCTTTATGGCGAAAGGATTGGTTGTACGTTAGTGATGTAGTTTCATATCGCGGATAAAATTTGAGTACTTTTCTTAATCAAAAATAAATTATTTCGACTGTTCATTACAATAAAATATTAAAAAATAATCGTGAATCTTTCATGAATTTGAATTGATTTTAAGACCTGCTTCATTTTAGTATTTTTCCAAAAATGTAATTTATTTTTTAAGAAATAAGTACGCTATTTGACGGTAAAAAACGTGACGTCACAATTCACAATCTATACTCGTATTATAAAGAGGAAAGATTTGCACCTATTTTTGTATGTTTGTAATGAATAGGCTCAAAAAGTACTGGGCCGATTTAAAAAAATCTTTCACCAATAGAATGCTACATTCTTCCAATTTGACATAGGTTACATTTCATTTTGAAAAAAACTAGGGATCCTTGGTAAAATTTGAACAATGTAACCGAAGTTGTGAAGAATGTTGTTCGAAATGAGTCTTAAAATGTCTTTCGTCGAATGCGCTGCCGAAACTATTAGCGATAGAACAAAATAATGTACAACAATATTGAAGAACATCATAATGTCTACATTCCTACATTCCAAATTTCCGAAAATAAATAATTGTCTACCCCGTGCGAAGCCATGACGGGCTGCTAGTCTCATATAAAATTCATAGAAAACTGTCGTTTTTGACAGTTTGAAAAAAGTATTGAATGTGACTAGTTGTCAAATACCGTATTGTCTCCAACGTGATCTGTGACATGTTATTTGAAATATCCACTATACGGAATTAATACTCAATGAATGATAATATTTCGTTAAAGCAAACGAAGTTTCTATCTAAATTCAGAATAATTTAAGCATTTCGTAAATGGTAGTGCAACATTGATTTCCAAATACCAAACTTAAATGTAATGTAGGTAATCTTTGTTTTGTAATGTTTTTTAAGTTGCCTTTCACTAGGATTTTCTCCTGTGTCGTGGGTGTGTTTACAAACATACAAATTCACATACACATGACACCCAGACCACCCGACAGACACACAAAGAGTTGTTCCGTGCGGGATTCGAACTCGTGACCCATTCGAGTCAGCCCAAAATACCTCAGCCACAGCGCCAACCGAAAAAGTCTATTAGAATCGTAAGCTGTAATAGTCTTCGCACATCTATAAATCATCATTAGCTATGCTATAGCTGAAATCATACACAGTTATTACCTGCACGCACCTACATATAATTCAACCATGAATTTACGAAATAAAACTTACTACCTAAGTAACACGACAGTAACGAGTTAGATAACTTTAAGCTGATAGTGTAAGTCTTTGAAGCTCTAACATTTCTAAAAGAATAATTGCTCTCAGTGCACCAGGTACCTCATTACGTGCGAGGGTCGGCTTTCACCATCTCTTACCCGTTATTAGAACTTCTTTCTATTTCATCACAAAGGAACACCCTGTAACGTACGCGAACAACGCACTACGCGGAGCCACCGCCGCTTTATATTCCTACATTTTTTCCACCATTCCGAACAATTACTATGCTAATGTTCACTGAAGCATATTTTATTATCTTTGCCGAGTACAAAGGATATCGAAAAATACGCGAGGAAAGTTAACGCAGATATGACAATAAAGTCCCGACGCGATTCGTGGTATCGCATTTATCTCTAGGCATTTCCAACTTGAAGTGTCGCCTCGACGACGAACGAATAGAATGTAATGTTTTATCGCATAAAACCATTTTTTCTGTGTATTTTTTGATATTGCACTCTTAGGGTGCGTTCACATCTGCCGGATATTACGTGTCGTGTCGTGTTATTATGTGTCGCTTGCTAGCCGTTTGCGGGCTGCCCGCGAGCTGTGCGTGTGCAGTCACGGCAATAAATGCTCGGCTCTGCGAATGCGCGCTCGCTAGAGCCTCGTGAACTGCGCATTCGTGGATCATTCGCCAGATATAGACCTACGCACCCTTAGAGAATCTAATTGCACTGCTTGAAAAGTCTCTATGAGTATTTATGGTGACGCTAGACATGTGTGCATTTGCTAGTTCACATGCGTTCACATTGTGTGGCACGGACAAAATAGCATCAAATGCCTGTGCCACACAATTTAAACAAACGTGTGTGCACATGTCTGGCGCTGGCATTAGAACAATTTCAAAGGAAATTATTATCACGCACATGACGGATGAATGTCTCCAAGAATAACAAGATTGTTGGAATATTTCATACGAAAATGGATTTGTTTTTCTCGTCCTTTAAAGGATACCAACTGCCTGAATAAATAAATTGAATATTTTATTTATTCTAGCGAGGCAATATTTCGAAGCTATTTTTATTAGTCTCCTAGCTTATGTTTGTGTAATATTTGTAACGTTAAAATAACTTACCGAAAATCTTCGGACGTCATTCCGGAGATGGTGGTCTGGTTGGAGTTCTGGTTCCACATGAGAGCCTCTGTCGTCAGATGACCTTCGGCAGCTTCTCGCATCTGTTCAGGTGTACAGTCTATACCTTCTTTCTCCAAGTTGGTTTCGAACCAGTTGTCTTCGTACCAACCTGATAAAAACAACAATGTGACATGAGTGTTATAGTTAATTAAGAAAAATCTTATTTTTCCGTCGGAAGGTATTTATCTACAAAAGCGCAAAAACAAAAGTGAAACAAATTATCAAATTAACAAGGAAACTACGTGAATTTTACTTTTTAAACATTTCATGATCCGAACTTTGACCATTAAACCAGTAGCCACGGTTCTTATAGTCGCATTGGGGAAATTCATTAATTTATGTAATTACTTAGAAGGCAAAGGAGTTCTCTTAAGCCGAGGGAAATCATTACTTAAGCAGCTGATTCATTTAATTAAGTGAAGCTACACAGATTAAACATATTGGTGTTCCTTCTAACTTCCCAATCAGCTATTGAGTACCGCCTACGAATCGACCTATACCTACTAAACCAATTTATAATGGCTTCACTTCGTATGATCTTTCCGTACATTCACCGGCCAGTTTATACCGGATTGCATAGCTTGATTTGCGGCCATGTACAATCGGTAACAAAAGTAGGTTAATTTTGGCCAAACTTTTCGATGAAAATTTATGAATGTAAACTTTATAATTATTACTTGTTCTAACAAATTAATGAGAATACTTTGGAGACTCGTTGTTATGTACCAACACAAGATATATTGGTTAATAATATCAACTTGAGTGAGTTTCCGAAATAACCGAATTTTGTGTTGGCCTTCAATGATCAGGAATGAGAGAGATAGCGTTAGCAGTAAAATATAACTCTGTCTCTTTCTACAACAACAGCGTAATAAAATCATGTTAGTACATAATCCGGCCGTTGAACGAACTACACATCGAGCTGTACATATCCAGTATATCATGGTCTCGTTTTGTGTGATTTTGCTACACATTGGACGGTCAATTTATACTGGTTTTGCATAGCTTAGTAAGTTCTTCAGTAAGTTTTAGGGAATGCGCGTCCCAAGGTTGGGCTATAGGCCCTCGGGTCACGACGTCAACATCACTTCTCATCTGATCCCTTACAACGGAGAATTGTGAATTATCAGCAACAATGTCAGAATTCATAATGTCTATTATACGGTCATTGGAAACTGTTGTACCCTTTTTTGGTATGTATATTTGAAATAGTTTTGTTATGAGGACAGAGTTGAGAACAGGGAATTTTGTTTTCACGACTGCTTATAAATAAATATATTGAAAGTGATAGGCCTTTGTCCAGCAGTGGACGTCTTTCGGCTGTTGATGATGGTGATGTAGATGACCATGATAGAATTTGATTATAATATGTAATTAAGATTACAAAATACATAAAAATGCTGTCATTTAATTACATAACAAAACATTATTGTGCAACTTACATCTGTGCACACAGATGTAACACCCACTTTTCACTATTTATGTTATTAGTCCCATGCAATAGGGGGTGAGCCTATTGCCATATACCGGGCACAATTCCAGACTCCGTGCTACTACTTAGATTTTTTTTAAAATCCAGTAATACTTTGACACACCAGGGATTCGAACCAGAGACCCCTTGTCGCACTTGCGACCATTCGGCCAACGAGGCAGTCATTTAATTAGTTTTTGGATAAGTGTAATTATACTTTTATTTCAGTAATTGATTACATTGTCAGTGACCCAGTAATACCTTTGTATTTCGACCGGACTACACAGATACACGAGGCTATTTGTGCGATTGTATTGTATCGTAAATTGATTGTTTCTATTGAGTGTTCTATCACTACTTACGAGGATCTGTCGGGCTTTTTATAAAGTTGGCTTTTATATACGGACCGATGAGCAATCCAGTATCCACTTACAATCGTTTTCGCTTCGAGAACGATCGCGAAAAACATCACAAAAACACGGGTATAATGATAAAAACGTGACAGACTAAACCTCAATTAGGGTGATCAATAAAACAACGTTCTTCTGAAGATAAAATATGGAAAAAATAATGTTGTACAATGAAAAAAATCTATGAAAATTTGTTTTAAATAATCTCCTCCTTAAAAAGAATTGTCGGAAGATATGATTGGGTTTCGAAATGCGAAATAGGTCCATTAGGTAAAGATCTATTCATTACCTCGACCGTTAGTGTGAAAATATGAATGACTAGAATTATCATAATGCCAATTATTTATTCAAGAATAAGCGGGAAATTATGTTCCTTTATTTAGCGTCCACGGTGGAACTCACCCTCGGCCATTATTTATCTCCTTTCTCTATCCATTTCCTTTGTCCTGTTTGTTGGAACAAATGTATGTTTGCTGTGTCATCTCGGCTTTGCTTCAAGTTATGTATTTTCATGAAAGTCGAGCTAAATGTTTTTGAGTGGCAATATAACTTTTTCATACTTCTTATAACATTTCAAATTACGTCATAAAAGAGTCTTGTCTTCGTTCAAAATTTTTCTACTCGCTCAAAGTTTTGACCCGACGGCGGTTTTATTTGTTTGTGACAAATAAGGTTTTAAACAACATTTTTTCTTTTTTATTCTCTGACTGAGTTTATTAGCGTTTTTTATCAGTAGGTACACGTTTAAATTAAGAACAAGTTCTTTGTTGTTTTCGTTTTATTGACGTGGTACTTACATTGTACATTTATGCTGAAGCACACCTATACGATATCAATATTGTATTTTCGAGACATGGGCATGATTGAAATTTAAATGAATGTAAAGTTTTATTTTATTTATATTCAAAATAAATAAAATACCTAAAATAAGTAAAAAGATTCTAAAATGTTTCAACGTTTGCTTGATCATAGTAAGTAGCTATAAAGCATAAAATTTTTGCGAACACGGAACTCATATTTCCTTCAAGTTGGGGAACGTGTCGATTATTTTTATATGAAGTGATCTCTTAGTGGGATATTTTATGCTGTAATAAAGTTTTATTACGGAAGAGAAAAGATTCTCGGAGCCTATATTAAGGGCAACCGGACGTTGATAACCTGCCGAACTTGGGCTGACGTACCTTTGGCAGGACGCCAATAAGCCAGCCGCACAAGTGTGTACACTTATCTACTGAGTCTCGGGACCCACCTTGAACTAATTTGGCCCACTGTTCACGGCGAGTGTACATAAATATGTTGACTTGAAACGTCGCCGAATTATAATTCCGAGGCACGCTCTACTCATTATTGTGAGTACAACGCTGCCAATGTAGGCGTGAATATACCTCATTATACTAAATCAATGTGGACACAGGAGAGGAATGTAAATGCTCCTAAATTGGATACATTAATGAGAATTGATTCAGAAGACAATCACCGAAACGGGCGTCACGACGCGCCTGCTGCGGCGGCTCGCTATCATGAATACGCAAATGGAAGTTTATTGCGAGTGTTTTCATTATATTTTAGGGTAAATATTTAAACCAGGTCAAAACAAAGCTTTTATCCTGCAGCCTCGTTGGAGTCGTGCTTACCGACTGTCGTCCCCTAGGACGAGGGCCTATATGAATAAATTAAATAAAACACATAAATTGACCAAAAACTGCCTTTCCCAGCGAACGAACTTGGGAGGCTGTTAAACAAACTTTTTAAATCGAGTTGACATATTAGAACGAGTACGCTCGCAGAATTTTCGGTAACAAAACCACTTTTAGATTGTTCCAAACGTCGCTGTTACTAAATACTGAACTTTATTTTATGTTCGGTAATTGCGTTTTGCTTCGTTACAGGTACCTACACACTAGATTAACTGTACAAACTTTTCCGAGTAAGATAAACTTACTTTTTAACGCGTTTTTTTATAGTTAAGTATACCTTGTAAATAGAATTCGTTTTCTGTTTAATTTTATTACTATGTAAACGAGTGCAGGGCTATTAAAAAGGGTTTATTAACATGTTACAGCAAAACATTGCTAAATGATCCATTGAAATTGTAATTACTTTCTCGTCTCTTGGGTCGCTGTTTTTTATCGTTTACCTGGATGAATAAAACATTTTCACGTTAGGAAATTAAATACTTTGGGGCCATGTTATTAACTATAATAGTCCCATTAGCTGGGTACTGAGACTGACCCAAGGGTTTTGTTCTCATAATCCATCGTTTCCACTAGTCTGCGAGAAGCAGTCGTTCCTCAAAATATCCATTCTCTTATTTTATTAGACTCTCGAGTGTCGTTAACGACCGCTCTTCCTCAGTTCTTCACTTCATCTAAGATTTTTTCCACTTCCATTACTGTCGCAGCCTGTGGTTTATCCTCAAGGGATTCATTCGAGAAATTCATTAATAAATATCTCGTTAGACAACTACCACTTATTTATTACTGGGTAGCAACTAAATAGCTAAATGAAAAGACGCTGTGTTGCTGTGGTAAGTGTATTAAAAACTCTTGGTTACGATTATAGAGGTGTAAACTAAAAAAAAAACAATTCTCAAATTCACATGTGCGGTTAATCTTCGAGTGTTAAGATACAGCCATGTAAAAGGGATGCCATTGTTGAATCGCCTAAAGTTGTTTGAATTATCTTTAAAATAGTTTGAAGATAGAATTGCTTGTAGATTTCATGGTTTTTGTATAAAGAATCAGTGTCACATCTCAATAAAATTCTAGATCACCAAGAACTTTTGATAAATGAAAAAAAAGGAATATCGTTTCGTCTGTCCCAAATGTAATAATTTTAGTATAACATGTTACATGAATATTATTATTACTTTCTTAGACGTAGCTTGAGGCATTTTTATTAGCTGGAATATTAATACTTATTACAAAAAACTAGGTAAGTACGTATGTAGCTACATTTACGTTATTACATTTTCGAGAAAGCTTCGTATTTCTTTTTTATCCTTCTTCATAAACAATGTCTAAATGAGTTGTATCCGCGACAGCGAATGTTGCCACTCTCAAATTATTTCTTTCGCAATATTGCCCACAATAAAATTTATAACGCTATGACTTATGCGGGTTTCCCTCGTTTTAATGATCTGCTGGGATTCTAACTTGGGTTTGACATTTATGAGTTCGAGAATACGTATTTGAATTTAGAAAATGTATATTCCGAGGTTTTAATGTGTAAAATGTGTCATGGCCACAGATCGATGCATAAGTGTTGTGATTGTTGTAATTTTGTTCCAATCGCGTGCAATGATTGTTTTTATATCGATTTTCACGTGTTAAGCGATTCTTTCTAGGTTTTGTTTAACCATTGAATCGTGGTAATACAAATCAAAGTTAGACTTTACTTACATTTCAGATTCAACTGTTTAGGATTTCAAAGATACTCAGAATGTCTATTAGTAAAACTAATTATGAAAAACGATCATAAAAAATAAACGTATCGAGAGCATATAATGAGCAAATAGCTTTACTTTAAAAAATGTTGTTGACATTCAACACTGCCTTCCCTGGTCTAATTGAAATAAATGATTTTAACTTTGACTTTGATGTGTTTACTTTGAATAATCGCCACGACATCAATAAAACTCTTTTGTTACACAGTTACGCATTCGTGGCGGTTATAGCACGTTCAGAAACGTTACGCGGCTGAGTTTCATATTTCACTTTCCAAATTACTTTTGGAACATAAAAGAAACAAAGTGAGAAAAGGTAAAATATATGATCTGGACAAAATATACGTTTGCGTCGCACTTATTTCTCACCGAATGCAAAACCGTGTTTTTGTGCGAAGGCCACCGTAAGCCGTTTCCTGGAAAAAGAATTATTACGGTTCTACAACCTCTAACAATGTGGAAATCTAAAGGAAATTCTTTAAAGTTTTTTTACTTTTTACAATCAGTATTTTAAACAAAGTTGGAAAAATATGTTTTGATAAATTGCAGTTCTTTGAGTCGAATATATATTCGCTTTGAACGCGCTCATACTTTGTCGGGAAATTTTAAAAGAGCTGTAAAGTATAGAACCTCACTAAAACTGGGAATCTCCGTGTGTGGGGTGCAATTTCAATTTCAGCGAAAATGTAAACTGTATTGCGGCATTGGTTTTACTGTGAATAGAGAAAATAATACGTAAGTAAATAGGATTGCAAGTGCAATATTTGGGCTCGGTTTGAGTTAGACGTTTTTACGTTAGTTTTATTCATAGATTCATTATTGAACATGCAATTAAATTAAATTTCGTGGAGATTTAAGACGCCATGCTTCTCATGCATGAGGGTGCGGGTTCGAAACCTACCAACAGCCAGTACCAATGCGACTTTTTCCCAGTTATATGTACTTTATAAGATTATCTAGACACCACTGACAAACGGTGAAGGAAAACATCGTGAGGAAATCTGGGCTTACAATTTCTAACTATAAGTTTGTAATCGCCAATCCGCATTGAGCAAGCGTGGTGATTAATGCTCAAACCTTCTCCGAGTGGGAAGAGGCTTTGTTCAACAGTGGGCATTCATAGGCTGTATGAATGATGAATTAACTCGTCGAGTACCGTCATTATAGACACAATTATAGAACAATAGGTTGCGGTCACCGGTGACCGCTTGGTGTTTGACAGTTTAAATTGTACCAAAAGTAAATGAGTACCTAGTACACACATTCTATAACTGCTTTCAGAGTAAACAGACGTTAGTTAAACATATTATTATGTTATATAGTCAGGAAATATCCATAGTTACACATTGCAAATATCAAGTGAACTTGGCGAAGCTAGAGTCACAAGGGAGGCTGACTTGTAGTCATATTATGAAATTATAATACTGTCGCTTCGTGTTGGCGTTCCCATGAAAAAGGATGATCTTTCGCTTATGTGTCAGTGCCCGGGTTTTTCGGATAATGTTATTTACGGATTTACCTCCAAATAAGTGAAATCCCTCTAGGGGTTCCGCAAGCAAATGTTAAACAATTTTCCCAGCGTCCATTTTTGTGGCAAACGCTTCTTTAGTGTTTTGTAGCTATGGTTTTATAGGTTTTGTGTTGTTGAGAAAGCTTATATTAACATCATTATGTTTGGTGTGTGATTGGTATGACATGAACGTCAAGGTGCATGCAATCAGTGCAGTGTGTAAATTATCTATTACGCTTAGTCAGATAAAACTATAAAAGATATGATATTGCCTGGAAGGAACACAGGAAAGGTATTCATTATATTAGTCAGTTACGTTAGTCAAATCTTTAGCGTAAATAAAATCGATCTATGAGTAATATTGTAGTGGTACTAGGCGATCATAACACATAGTATAAATACTTAAAGTAAGACTTACCAATAAAAAACCAGACATAAGACTTTCCATACAGGCGATGTTTGTAGACTTCACAAAGTACTCGACGCGCCGCGACCACATAGAACAAGCCGACGATGACGCGAGCATCTTGACGCCTCAGGTTGCGCACGGCGTCCGCTGGGTCTGATAGAAACGACTGCCGAGTCACGATCTCAATACCAGCCTTCTTGCAATGCGCTTCTAAGTCTTCTACAGTCTGTGGAATAAAGTGTCAGTTAGTGACTATCTCTTATATCTTCACTTGAGTGTACATTTCGAACATTAATAAAGTTAGCATTTAAAAAGCTAAGTCCAAGAGGACCATAGTAAGACGGATATCTCGGATATTAACGTCTCAGTGGAAACATCACGCTCCACTGACTTTCGTTCCATTGAAAGCCAAAAGTAAATAAATTACGAGTTCAAAAATTACATGTTCCTAAGGCCGACTCGAGTCGATAGGATCATTCGAAAGGAAATTCGAATCGAACTGAATTTTCCTAACTCCTCAAATCCAGAGTACTAAAGTAGCTACGGAATAAGTGTTTGTATGTAAATTGGACCGTTGAGGGTTTTTGCTGTGATCCCCGTCAATACGAACGAAAATGAAAACCTTTATTACACAAATATTTGGGGCGTCAGTTGTTTTTATGTGCGTGAACTCTAGCAAAAATATTTCTTGGCCGCCGTGAAAGGAAAACAGGAGCGCAAGAACGCTTCAAACCCACTTATGCAGAAAAAACCGGGGCCGCTCTAATTACATTGAAACCAGCGTGAAAGGCCTCGCTCCATTCATTGCCGGTAACTATACACTATACACACCCTTCGTTATGCTCGCGTGCGCTATATAAATACGTGCTTTTACCTGACAAAAACGCCTACAGCCTCGCTGCATAAATCTAGTGCTACAACATTATATTTCATTTTCACATTCTCATAGAGAACACAGTCGTTAAACTTTTCAACTCTCCGTGAACTGAAATAACTTAAAAAAGATTTATTGTAAGAAGAAAGCTATGTATTTTATTAAATGTCCACCTCTTTTCGGGTATTAGCGCTAAGTACCTCTTAAGAGAAAAGGTGGACGTTTCGTGAATTTTATTTAAATTGGCTTCGTGTTCGCTAGCTACGGTATTACTTGAACCTATAGTATCTATGTATGTAAGAGGGTTTGTACTTGTACTCCTATTACATGAAACATGTTTAATCTGCGCTTTTAAATTCGTACATCGTTTTGTTTATCCTTTTGTATAATAATTCTTTTATTAAAAGCTACGTTTAAAATTATGGACTTCAACCTCCTCTTTGTTTGAAATCGGTTAACTAATACATATTTCAAAACCTCCTCCTAAGACTAACAAACATTTATCTGATAAACGCATCGAAATCGGTTCAGCCAATCGCGAAGTTATCACGCACAAACACATTTATACATACAGTCAAACGTAGAAACTCATTTTTTTGAAGTCGGTTAAATATAAAGTTACATCGACCTGAACTTGAATAGGACACTAGTATATTCTAAGTACTTATTTTTAATCAAGTACAATCTAAATTATGCTGTAAATCCTTTTACAACTTAAAAGATAATTGGTAAAACATGGAGTCCTTGTCGCAGATTTACAATGAGATAAAGGGGTGTCTTTATCACAAATTTTCAGGTTAAGTGTAAGATAAAAAGAGAGTAATCGTGAAATTGTTGGTTCACATAACGATAACCGGGACGTTAACGGCATTTTTATAATATCATATAATAACTTGAAGCCACAGAATTAATATCGGAGTTTTATTACACAAACAAAGGCTGGAGGACAGGAATAAACAGATAAAAATAAACATGTAGGGAAGAGAGCTACTCATAAATATTGCGATATAGATATATCTCTTACAGAAAACACTTTCAGGCGACTTCACTTAGATTTGCTTATTCCTGCTAGCTACGACCGCTATGCCTGAATAAATACCGTTCCATCTATGAAAGTATTCGCGAAGATACGCCAGTCGGATTCAGTAAATACTTACGCCTTCGTATCATATATTTTCACTGTTTGAATTTCATATTGTGGCTAAAATTGGAGTATAGCGAGCGAGTAGGTCGGTAGAGGGTGTCGCGCGGAGGTAAAAAATGTCCAGTTACATCCATTTATCATGTAAGACGCATTGTACTCGCGGCTCACTCGGGGCGATTATTTTCTCTTTATAACCATTGTTACATTATACGTTGGGTACGTAGGCTTTAATACGTCCGGCAATTCTAAACGACTGTTTACTAAATGGATTGTTAAGTCGTAACACGGGATGTAATGTGTTGTGTGAGCTCTCACAGACTTTAGATCCGCAAAGTCATCGTTGTGATAGTTATTTTTTGTAGTATCCGTCGTAGTTGTACCATACGTTTTTATTTTATTTAGTACATCGGTTTTTTTCGAAATCTTTTCTAGAATATATTATGTGCAATTCTGAGACTAGATTGTTATTAAAGTGCATTCTGAGAAGTGTGTTGCAGCCGTCTTTGTTTCCCAACCCATCTCTACACTCGACATGAACTGTTTACACGTGAAAATTGCTCGCGTAGCCACGTCGAAGGAAATTGAAATTTATATAACACTTCCTAAAGCTGAATTCCGTCGTCCTACACTGTAGCGAAGTAACATGAAATACCCGATAGCCAGTATTAATAAATTGTATCCACGGAATATAATATTTTACAGACTAGTCGCGCGTGACTTACGGAAAAAGTCTAATATTTCTCGCTTCGTCCACATACATTGTATCAGTGAACACAGACAATGTTCTGTCGCAAGTTAATATTCCGTTTACTGGTTATCGATAGTTGGATCGCAGTACTTTGTTACATTTGCTCATATGGAAAAATTTGCAGACGTCCGCAAATGGCCCTAGCGGTTTCCAATACATTATGAAGTCGAATTCTTCGATCCGTCGAAGGCCAATCATGAAGATCGTTTGTCAATCGGCAACAAAGCGCTTAGCGTGTCATACTCCACTTGATGTCGATACGAACAACTGTCGATCGAACAATTTAAGTCACGCAAGCGGTGGAAACAGCCGACACGATATGGTACCCGTACATAATCACTCGTCGCCATATCACTTTATATTATCGCCGCGTTCGCTGCTCCACAGGTTGAATTATCGAAAGCTAATGTAATGTAAAGATAACACATGTAGCAGGCGAAGACGCGTTAGTTTGTACAACAGTGAATAAGATTCGAATATGTTTTCCTTTTGTGCGATCTATCTCGTTTTACAATACCCTAAGCATCGAAATCTATTATGGCGGTTGAAATGGTTCGAAACGGGAGAATAAATTTAAGTTTGCCCATAAAATTGGAACGTTTTATCAAGGGAGACGTCATGGCTGAGGAGACGCAAACTCGGCCCGGTTCGCTGCGGCCACAATTACTTTTCTATTTCTTATGTAAACCTCCGTTCTATCTTCCCGCTTGTCCGAGAGCAGAAATGACAGAGTTTTGCAATGCCAATTAATTATGATAATATTCCGTTCTTGATGAAAATTTACTTAAGAGAAAGTTTTTTGAAATAGCATATTATACTTAACGCTAATTGTTATAGCAATGAAAATATATGAAGTACGTATAATTTTCTTAATAAAATTATCGTGGTTTTGTAATTGAGCAAACTAAACAACCCAGATGAAATAATTGAACGGAAAAATCCTTAATAAGTATTATTGAGACGGCTAGATTGGTTTTTTTTTATACTTTATAGGCTAGATTGGGTTACTTACTGATATAAAGACTTCCTCTGCCTGTTGTAAGATGGCGATGCGTGACCATCCGAATTTCTGCATGAGTTTGATCCGAGTAGGGTTGTGTACTGTTGCTGATGGATGGGTGCGGAATAGCGTTGGAAAGCGCGCGCGATCTGACAGCGCTGGTGATGACGCGCCGTAGCAGAGCTGAGGGCGATAAAAAAGTGTCAGTAAAGTTTTAAATGGCTAATATATTACTAAAGTGTTATAAATGTTACAAAAAAGGTTAATTGCTTTTGTTAAGATTGTTAGATCATAATTTTATTTTACCAAAATCGACAATCGATGATTTAATATTAATACATAAACGTGATAACAGCCTTTCTCGAAACATAAAAGAGCCAAAGTAATCATTTCGTCGAAGCATATTAACCCTTAAACGTTCGAGTAAAAATAATAAAAATTAATAGCTTTGCCACCCTGTTTATAGGGATTAATTTTGCACTTGACAGGATTTATGTCACATTACAATAAAGTAGAATGTGGTACTGGATTTCATAACGTACAAAAATTCTTTCGCGGATCGCGACAGTCTGTCTCATGGGGGTGACAAAATGATATAACAGTACATTTGTTTTGAAAAATTGTTTCTTTTTGGTACTGTATGACCTCATATTTACTCTTTGCTTCGTTTTGGTTCCGTAGTTGAATCTAATGTATCTAAAAATAACTTATTCTTATTTGTCATACCATAACTATTTTCGTTTCTAACAGACATTCAAATCAAATCAGAAAAACATCTCCGTCTAGACGTTTTCGAGTACCTACCTATATATTAATGAACATACATAAAAATAAAATATTCCAACAAATTAACAATCCCCACTGTTTGTATCTGACGTGGCTTGGTTGAAAATGTATCAAGTATTTTCACCCAAATAAAAGTTAACACAATTAATTTGCGTAGAAAATTCGTTAAGAACAACGGCTCGGTAACATAATCAACTCGTAAAGTAACTTCTTAAACGATGAACAATCTAATTAATTAAATGCTCCAACGAAATGGATACCTAAAAACAAGGATGGTAGAACTCATTACTACAAAAACGGTGTTTGGCTATACAACCCTAATATTCATAAATGGCCCTTCGGATTCACTTGAACACCATTAACCAATCAAAACACGTTATGCCAATGTTCCCACCGCTGACCCTCGTTTACGAACGGAGGTTTTTATATCTTTCACTTGTTTTTCTTTTATTGAACTTCAGCCATTTTAGCCTGTTATGATTTAAGGCCCGGGTTTACAGTTCACAGGAAAAAATAAAGCATTCAGCCTAGAGTTCTCGTTTAGGCAATAATATTGCAGGAAATTCTGGCATTTTTCTAAATGTTTTTGATGGGACGTTATCTTTGGTTACGGTTCGGCTCGTACGAGTATGTTAAGCGAGGTTCTAGGATAGTTTTCCATGATGAACCACGTGTCAATGTGATGTTAACGTTACTTTTTTTCGATGTATGCAAAAAGCTGACTCCTGTAATGAAGGTCTACCTTTTAGAGGCATTGCAACAGTTATGGTTCTAGTTTATATTAGACAATTCATTTAAGTCTGAACGTAACACGAAGTTACTTAACGAAAAAGAAATAGTTTCGTATCATGTTACCAAACTCCTTGGTCGAACAAAAGCACTGGCTCTAATGAATTTGTTTTTACTACAAATGTCACTCGATAATCTCGTGACTTAGCACAAGCAAAGTTTGGCCCTCCCTTCCCTAAGGGCAAACTTTATGAAGTCCCTGTAATCTGGACATGTGTCAAAAGTATAACTATTTCGAAAAGTTCACACCAAAAGGTCGAGGTTAAGAAACGATAAAATTGTATGAATAAGATATCGTTAGTGGTACATTTTTAAAGAATGTGACTACATTATAACTTTGGATTTTTCGGACGCTGGAGGGTTCATTTTTTGAAAATTAGAACAGTTCATAACAGTTGATAAGCGACTGTTTGCATTGAACATTATAAGGATTGGTTCCAAGAGGTACAAAATTTCCACCAGTATGGTGTTAAGAAAATTGAATCTGGTGGTGTGGGAATGTTCTTTTTATTTCTCATATTATTTAGTCTTTAACGTGATTTCAATAGTGGCTATCGTGGTGTCCTAGATTAGTGTACCTGAGTCCTGCCTCAGGTAGATATCAGATGAAAAATATTGTCTAACTTTATAGATATTTTCAGAACTTAGCTCTTAGCGTTTATCATGACTCTCTCATCGCTATATTAATCTTTAGCTTTACTATTCAAATTAAAGTGTTATGTGTGTAACAGTAAACAGTGATACTTACAACCATAAGATTCCACATCTTGGCGGCTTCAGCGACGGTGGTACAGACAGTGGAGCAACCAGCTAGCAGCAATAGTTTCTGTGGTGGATTGTAAAGCAGGTTGTACATCACACTCGCGCCCAGTCCCGGTTCGCACTGACGGACAAACAAGTAGATTTAATTAGATGTAGTCCTTCAAACAGCATATACTAGTACACTGAATAATAAAACTTTAACGCATTTTAAAACCTACAGTATTAAAATTAGGATCCCATTTTGACATTTTAGAGTAATGTCATATGATCAATCAGTACGTTTACCATGAGTTCAAAGTATTGGTACTCGATACTCGATAGCGACTACGTATTTTTTTTATATGGAGAATGTTACAGCGCCTTTAGCGGCCACTTGCGGTACTAAAATTTTCCATATGAAATATTGACGTCGTTGTCGTTATCGAGTATTGACAAAAACTACTACTGTACTCTCAACTCATGGTAGCGGTACATACGGCTACAAATCGATCTATATGGCCTCGCTTCGTATGATTTTTTCCGTACATTCAATACTCAGTTTATATTAGGTTTGTATAGCTTTTTTTTTTTTTAAGGGGGGAAAATCATCGAATGACTGCTCCCGCCTGGGTGAGGCGGAAGGGAGTGTCAGACTCTTACTGACTAAAAACCACCCCGTTCCTTCTCCTGCACGTCGAGCCGGAGCCCCGGTTACCCGTTAGGTTCTCCGCGACTCATAGCTATACCTACTGAAGAGTATGTGAATCGTGATTTGCTGGTTTACCTTCGTTAACTAAGTTAATGAACAAACACGAGAAATAGGTAATGACGCCGTTCGCAGTTTCTATTTGAATGGGGAAATGTGTTATGATTGTTATGTGCTCTCCTATTATTTGATGTGTGACATTATTCCTGTCCGATACGAAACTAACGTTGTAAAGGAGGTTTTCGTTTTGTTTTAAAAAAAGAAGTGTTGGGTACGCTGGCATGTAAGAATCACGAAGAACACTTTTACGTTTCAAATTTCGAACGAAAACGGAAATTTCAACATTTTTTTTAAACCGACTAAATTATGGTTCTCAGTTTCACCTGTATATAAGAATCAATTTTGATGCGGTTTTCAGAAAACTGCTTGCTACTTAGGAGAAGGTTTTAAAAAAATGGGGTTGAAGTCGATTTTTAAACGTCGTTTATAAAAGAATTATATTATTTGAATTTGTTTATTAATAAACAATTTACTATCTACTGATCTATCTCTATCTGAAAATCTATATACACTTTAATCGACAAGGTAGCTAGACTAGTTCCAAGTCAAGCAAGGGGCAATATAATACATATTATATACATATACATATTATACACATATCATATACATGTAAAAGTATTTTAAAACCAAAATAGTAAGTCATAATTAAACATACCTATCAGTCAAACGATTTCACAGAACTTAACAATAACATTACAATTCAAATTATTCAAACTATAATGGAGAACCACTAAAATCTTTCCGCTGAAATACATCTTGAGTCAAAACATAAAATAAATAGAATTTACCATCAAGTTTCGAAGTCTACATTCATATTCATGAATGACGCAATTGTTTGACGTGTCACGATTAGTTAATTGAATTCCAAAGAGCCTCTGATTGGCTATAACTTAGAGAACGCATACAGTCAGCGAATCAGAGCAAAGAGTTTTTAATTAATTAGTGAACTTGACCACATTAGCAAGATAAGGGGGAAAGGTCTACTGAAATATAATTACGGCTAGCCATTTAATTTAATCTGATATCCTTTCTGACTTATATGCTTTTATATCGAGTTTGATGTGCTCAGTTACTTACTTCGAAGAGTAAAGTAATTAGGTGGCCGGTAAAAAGCTTTGCCATGTTCCAGCGCGAGTTTTTATTCAATTTTCGATGGCCAATATTCAGCTCGTCATGAGTTTCATATAAAAAGCCAGGTAAATTAATTGTTGATAGAAAATTTTTGCAGTTTAAAAGTTATTCTGAAAATATGTGTACCGGTTTTTATGGTAAAGTGCTCCTGTAATAACACTTTAAACGTTTTTTGTACTGTTTGTTTTTTTATGAATTTTTTTATGTTTAATTGTGTTGTAAGGACAATGTTATTTTCTCATTGTTTGTGCAGTTTTCCGAATGCTACTAAATATGAGATTTAAGATTTAATTCTCAGGTTGATCTACATAATTATCTAAGTATGTTATTCGTATTTTCAGTATATAATTTTATAATAGTATACTAGCTTTTGGCAGCGGGTTTGCCCGCACTAAGTGAGATAAAGAGTATTCTATGTGTTAGTCCATACTACCTCTGTTCCAAATTTCATCCCGATCCTTTCAGCCATTTTGAGGTGAAGAATTAACAAATAAAAAAACAAACAAACTTTGATATTTATAAGATAAATAGGATTTTCTTTAAATCGAAATCAATAGAAAAGCTACAATTAATTTGTGTAGTCAGCAAAACATTTGCATATTAATGTTGTCTTACAATTAAAATGTGATGAAAATGAATAAATTTGTGGCGACACGTGTTACGTATGTCAAATGACAGTTCACGCACATTATGAAAAACAAATCACCGGGTGACGTCACAAGAATCCTACATCGCACAGGCAAAGTTTACATGCGAATTAACATTGGATAGAAAATCTCAACGAGTAGCTGTTGGGCAGAAAGTCCACCAGGCACGATCACCTCGCCTGGTCGGAGGATCCTTCTTTTGCGATCTTAGGGAACTATACTCTCTGTTCCCTAAAAATTAATTAATTGTTGTTACGTCACTGAAATGTCTCTTTATTTACAGTTTGGTTTATTTGAAGTAAAATTTTAATACCATGTACATACATACACATGATTAAAATAAATGTATTAATATAATGCCAACCACACAAAAAGTGAGTTGGTTAAAAAAATTTGATTACAAACGAATTAAATAAATAAAAAGTAATTATTGTATACGTAGGGAATTACTTACTGAATTTATACATGAATGTGAGCTGGAATTTCATAGTACCAGTCAAATATATTGCATATATGGATAGATATTTTCGGAAAGAGATAATTTTATGTGATAGTACCACCAATGACTGCCTCGTTGGCCGAGTGGTCGCAAGTGCGACTGCCGGGCAAGGGGTCTCGGGTTCGATTCCCAAGTCGGGCAAAGTATTACACCAATCAGTTGATTGAGGAACTCAGCAGCGCCCGTGCCGGTTGTCATATTGGTGATGTTGCTGTAAACAATCTCAGTTATGCGGACGACATGGTGCTGCTCAGTCCCTCGGCCAACGGTTTAAGGAGACTTGTTAGCATCTGTGAAAAATATGCTACGGAACATTATCTTACCTATAATGTTAAGAAATCTGAGATAATGATATTTAGGAGTGGTAAAGGTCCCGATAATATTTTACCGATCAATTTATGTGGATCCACGCTAAATGTTGTTAGTAAATTTAAATATCTTGGTCACATTATTAGGGATGATCTATTGGATGACGCTGATCTGGAACGCCAAAGGCGTAGTATAGCATGTCGTGCCAACATGTTGGCTCGGCGTTTCTCACATTGCACCGACCAAGTTAAGATAACTTTGTTTGGTGCGTATTGTCAGTCTTTCTACACCAGTCAGCTGTGGTACAGATACACAAGGAGTGCTTACAACACTCTTCGTGTACAATACAATAATGCTTTTAGAGCAATCCTAAAGCTTCCCTGGCGGTGTAGTGCGACTGGCATGTTTGTGGAGAATAGGGTTACAGACTTCTATGGGCTTGTGAGGAGGCTCAGGGCGTCTTTCCAGGCTCGTCTATGTGCTTGTGGGAATGAATTGGTTTCGGTAGTGTTCCATCACGTGTACTTGTTGAGATTGGAACTGACGCACCTTATGATGAAAATATAACTTTAATTTTAATTCTATCTTCGTATAATTTTAATTTTGTTTTATTGTAATTTTAATTTAAATTTATTGTAATTTTCATTTTATTTTACTATAATTTTGATTTCGTAGGTATATTGTAATTTTCAGGTAATTTTAATTTTATTCTATTGTAATTTTTATTTCACTTTTTTTGTCATTTGTAAATTTGAAATTTGTGATTGTTGTGTACTATGGGTTCCTATGCCTGAAATAAATGATTTATTTATTTATTTATATTACTGGGTTTTAAAAAATTCTCTATAATTCTGGTAGTACGAAGTCTGGAATTGTGCCCGGTATATGTCTCACCCCCTATTACATGGGACTCATAACATAAAATAGTGAAAAGTGGGTGTTACATGGTACAGTGGCATTAAGTGCCATAATATGCACCAAAGATTTAATTTAATTATTTATTAACCTAAATCTTTACTATTAACGACAATTTTGTTCGTTTTCGTTTGCAATTTGTTTAATTAACAAATACTTTTGTAATTGTTTCAGTTTTTGGCTGAAAATAGTGGAAAATAATGTTTTATTTTAATTAAATGGATTCTTGGTAATTGGTGCTTTTGTTGTATTTCATTTTATTTTAAAACGTTTGTGTATGTGGTCTTACTTTGACGTATATCAATGCTTAATTGCAAATTATAGTTTACTAGTATGTAGTAATTTTCAGGTATAGTTTATATATTTATCTACATTAATTAAAACAAACCAAAGAAGACGCTTTTATGAAACCGAAAGACGTAGAATTGCTGTCAGGTAATGTAAAATGTCACGCTGACTAAATTATTTTCTCATCAAGATGTTATAATGAGAAATTTTATGCTCTATATATTAATATATTCGGTGCCGGTAACATCCGACCTCAATAAACCCCCACTTGCCATTATAATGACTCTTAAGGTTATCCCCGATAATTCCTCCCTATTATGTTACACTTCCCTTCGCAATTTTCGTCAGTGGGTAATCGCCACGTTATCAACATCGAACTGATCGGAATCGTCAATTTGTCCGTAGATAGGTATGAATCGATAAAACCGGAAATTACCTTCAACCGGTGCGGAAATTCTATCCAATAAAATTTTCTTCGTGAACCATTCATAAATTCTCTATAATTGAATCGAACGTCAGCTTCACCCTCTCAGTTGCAATATCATAAGCCTATGACTTTGCTTCATTTGGATTTATGGCCGCGCTCCTCCTGGATACAAATACGATCCCTTTTTGTTAATTAGAGGGACCGCAGTCAGCTGGGCGGGCTCTAACTCGGCAATCCATTAACTGGCTACTTGTCAGTCTGAATGAGGAGCGAGAGGTGACGACACGTTATGCACATTAACTTGATTGGAATTATAATTGGCATTTTCGTAACTTTGTCACTCACAAACTTATATTGCCTACGTATAATTAAGTTTTCCGTTACCAAGCACTCGTGTTATACCCAATTTCGAGAGTAGATTAAATATGAATTTGCAGCGCCATAATGAGCACCTACGTACGACAGAACACAGAAAAACCTCATAAATTGTCGCACACAATACACACGTATTGGCACATGAAAGTAATTTATCGACTCTCTTGGTAAATGGATGATTAATGAATCAAATTTACCTTGCTATCGTTGCTGTGAATGTATAATTTGAAGCCGGACAATAAATCAAGGCGCTCGTTGACATCCGCGAGCGCGAGCTCGGCGGCTGGCTTGCAGGCCTGCCCGCCCTGCCACCCGCCTTCGCCTTCCATGGGGAAAATACCCCCAATATGGAGGTCCCCGTCGCGCCGACCCTCGCTGTACCCGCCGCCGCCGCACCCGCTCAGCCACAGCACCAGCAGCGTCCGCGCCCGTCGCGCGCCGCCGCCTCGACATCTCCACCGCAACACAACACACTTGGCAACAACGAATAATTGCACTATTGTCTTCACTAACAATGCTTTAATATCACAATACACTGTTCTAGTTCGAAAACTAAACATATTATCCACATCAGTTTTTAATTTGACTAGCGGACGCTTTGAAAAATTAAAGTTCACTCGCACCCGCGGCAGGGAGGCGGCGACGTTTTGATATAAACGTGATATCACCCGTAGATATTGTAGACATAGCCTAATAAGCGTTAAATTTTCTATAAAATATGGCATCGAGTGTGCACGGGGGCCCGGGCTGGCGCGCCCCGCCGCCGCGGCCACTGCGCGACCCTTGGCGCCCTGCAGGGTCATCGCTCGCGGCGGGGACATGCTGTCATTGTTCACCTCTCTCCGCATTTTCCATGCTCTCTCCTGTAACAAATAAAAATGCTCTCGTTTTCATCTGAATTGTTACTCTGCGAGCTTTGCTGAAGCTCGTTATTTGTAAATACTGTTGGAGGATAATTTGCGTTCCGTTCTCCCGACTATAAAAGTTAAAATGAGTACAATGAAGTGTACGTAGGTAGTTTTGTGACTTGTGAGTTTAAACATATTTAGTGTTTTGAAATACAGACTAAGATATTGTTTCGTAGAAACGGTTGTCGTAAAGTCGTAAGAATCAATCGAAAACCTAGTTATGTTAAATGTTTTCCTGCTAAAAATCTGCAATATGTCAACTGTCACACTAGTGGATAAATGTGCAGCTCAGGAAATGCTTTAACCAATTTGGTAAATGAGTTGTTAAAATCGCATTCGGGAGCGTGTCATTGCGATTAATTCAACAGACCGCTGGCAGCTAATTTGGTTGTAGAAATGTTCTAAATTCTATCCAATTGCGCATTAAAAACCTTATAAACTGGACTAAATGAACGAATTTGTGGTAGTATTTTATTTAATTCTGTTTAGGAGGATAAATAGAGGGTAAGAAAAACAAAATGATTTTCTGAATACAATCATTCTGTATTCTTATATATTTAAAAAAATGCATATTGTAAAATATAAATCCTTATCTATGATATTTTAACAAAACCTTGTGCACCATGCGTATTGTCCTCGCAGTACCTATAAAACCGCCAAATCATAAAAAATATCACATATCCAACCATCTAAGTCTAACCATCTATATATCTTCACAACTAAACCTCTATCCTACTGATATTGGATCCTTCATCTCCACCAAATTGTATAAGTTGAACATTTATTCATATCTCTATTGTACAAATGTAGCTGTTCATAGATATGAGAGTGATGCTGGCAATAACGCGAGTTTCAGTTTAATATTGACGTCTGGCGCGGCTTTAGTGCCATTTAGTCGATAGCTACAGATCACAATGCCAGACTTCGGCTCTGATGCTTTGAAAGAGTTGCCATTCTCTCGAAATGTTCGAGTAGCGTCACTTTTACCCCTTGCTATATAAAATATCGATATATGTGCGATTATGCACATATCGATATATGCACTAGTAAATCGATTGATTGTTTCATGTTGTATCTGAAATCTGTGTTGCTTTTGGTAAAAATAAATAGAATACCAAATTCAACCTTCATTAAAGGCTAAAACACACCTAAAACACACTGGGAGAAGATGAGAAGAAAGATAGAATGTAAGAACTTTCAATTACAATATTTATTTGTACAATAGTGGAGCTCACTACCTGTACACACCCACTCCCAGTGGGCTACAACATGGGGTTCTTCAAGAGGGGAGTGAATAGGTTTCTTAAAGGTCGGCAAGATGCATGTAATGCCCCAAGTACGTTGGAGGCGTACATAGGCCACGGTAGCCGCTTACCATCAGGTGGGCCGTGTGCTTGTTTGCCACCGTCGTGGTATTTAAAAAAAAAATCAAAAGATAATCTGACATTGTACTTCGTTGAAAGCTTGATTAGAACCTAGCGTAGAGACATTGTAGAACATACTTTTTTAAAAAGAGTAACGAATGGAGTTTCTTGCTCGTTCTTCTCCATTCGAATCTACGTTTTGCAATGAGCACCTAGCTTCACTAACGGACTGACTGACAGACTATTATTTATTTTGTATTCGTTGACGTTTCAAAAGTACCAAATTATGGTTTAATTGTAATAAATGCTTTGACTTTGCTTGAGCTATAACTCTGTCGTAAGTCAATCACTTTATAGGTATAAGCAGTTTTCTTTCAGGCCTTATATCAAGAATATCTTTCCCAGAATACGTAGGCTGTTAGTTGCATGACTTCGAACAGTTATCCATAACGTTCGGTAAGACATTCGAAGCCGGGATTAATCAATAAGAATTTCTGCTTGCGGATACAATAAGCCTGATAACAATCGACTCGCTGTAATCGCACCGCAATGAAATGAGAAGTTAATGATTCGTCGCTTATTCCTTATTCCTTTGTAATAGGGGTGGTAATCAATGAGAGGAAATGGTGTTCAATTAAAATGACGATTTTCTCAAAGCACGAGACTTAATTAAACGTCGTCTGTTATTTATCAACCTTCTTACTGACTACTGGCTAGTAATTAAATTTATTTCCAAGAAATCGATTACTAATGTTGATTTTGTTCTAGAAGTTCTCGTGAAGATGTTTAACTTTAATGTATTTTCATTTTATTCGAGACTAGCTGTTGCCCGCGACTTCGTTCGCGGGGAATTGTGATTCACAGCTCCTCCCCGGTAGATGATAGTGTGGTAATATGTAGCCTATGTTTTGACCTGATCTGTTAGTGATATTCATGCAAAATTTGAAGTAAATCCATGCAGTACTTTTGGAGATCATCCCGGACATACATACAGACAAACAGACAAAAATTATAAAAACCATATTTTCAGTTTCGGTATCGATTATAGATCACGCATCAAGTATTCTTTTTAAAATATATTCAATGTACAGTTTTGGTTTTTCTACGATTTTATGATATGTATAGATAATAGATAAAACAGTTGTTTATTTTTTTAGTCGACTAAATCTGTCTACTAATCATAGTATGAACAGAATCGCTCCTTAAAAGTCTTATGACTCAATCATTTGCGTTTGTATTGTAATAGTTTCAACCTGACTAATAATATGTTACGACCTCAAACAAATTGTTTTAATACCGTGTAATGTAGTTGAGGTTACCGTAGTTAGGTGCGCGGTGATCAATCAGTACCTCATCGAGTGCGGGGCCCGATATGTCGGGCTTGTAATTTAGATATTTGCCCAGCCAGCTCACAACGATGCCAGGATACCCGCATACATCCAAATGATATATCACTTCCCCTATATAAAGTTGCAACTTTCATCTCGGATGTGAACGAATAAAACAATACCCTATTACAAACTTCGTCCATCTCAAAAACACTATTTTCTGTGCAGTTTAGCTCCAATAGTTGGGAGTTAATGAAAGTTTCACAACAGAGCGACATTAAATTCGACATCTCTCCCAAGTCGAATGTCCGCCTCAGCAATCATTTTTCAAATCATATTTTCTGATCTTTTCCTCCTGTATGCAATATTTCAATTGAGGAACACGATTCGTATCGTCGAACAGCGAATCTGAGACAGATGATAAATAGCCCGCACTATACGCAAGTGCAATTTAGGCAAATTCAATCTAATCTATTTGAACGAAAGTCTATTTTTATTTGGACATTATCTAATGGGCACTAGCTATAATTCAAAGCAACGTTCTTCCCGTGTTTAAAAAGAAAAATTGTTATGCGTAAAACGTTCCCATTTCACGGTAAATAAAAGAGGATAAAGTTAGGTATAAAGATTAAGGCTTTTAAAAATAATGGTTGAGATGACGATAAAAAAAATAAAAATAAAAAGGTTGAATGTTTTTATTTGTTTACGTTTAAGATGTTAATCTTAAAATATACTTTGAGCTTAACAAAGTAAAACATCGTTACTTTAGACTTCATTACTTTTACTGGCTTTGATCCGTGATTCGCCCGCTTACTCCATACCTATAAAACTTAGTTTAATATCAGTTAGTATACATAGCTATAAATTTTTATATGAAACTGCATTTTCAAATGGATATTTTTTCCAATACAGTCTGACGATTTGAGAGATTAACGCATCCAAACTGTTGGCAGTTGTATTGAACTGAACCCTTCATTAAGCTTTACTATAGATATTATTTAAATAACCTTTAACTAAAGTTGATTGACAGTTTATATGAATACTTTATCAAGAGTTTAAATTGTGTGGGTTGGACGGACGTGCATTTCAATTTTCAGTCGTATCAACCTCCATTAATTTTAGACAGCCAGCTATGATCATGGATTCATAAACACTATTAATTAATATTAACAAGTTTACCGTGTGTCAATATGAGTTCCTCAGAGGATTCTTAATAGAATAATAGATAAAGGAGTTAATGAAAGGCAGTAAGCAATCACATTGAGGTTGAAGACTTCGTCAAGAGTAGGCCAAGGGGCTAACGCAATCATGGACCTGCTATTACCGCAATTTCTGAGGAAATCACATAAAGAAACCATTTGTCCGTTCCATTCTCGCTTATCATTACTATTGTCTATCTGTTTTTATTGCTTTAGTGTCGTACCTGACTCTCATATAGATTTTGTAGATTAATCCTATTTTTTAGAAACGAAATGCGAGTGATGTTAAGGTTGTAATACGATTTTTTTTTAATTTAAGTTGATCCTATTATACAGTTAGTAGGGTAATTAGTTTTGTTGCTTGTGATATTTTAGATTGACTGCCGCGTTAATAGTGAGTCAATTAGATATATATTTATATTCGACTACTTCTTATTAGCATTAACCATTTTATATAATTAATTTCCATATCATCATCATCATCATCATCATCAACAGCTGAAAGACGTCCACTGCTGGACAAAGGCCTCCCCTTTTATTTTAATTTCCATATACCTACATATACATAAAACTAACTTTTAGTCTGAATTCTACGTGTTTCAAAAAATACCGCATCACCTACTTACTCAGAATTCATAATCCGTACTTGTATTCACAACTAACAACGTAGGGCGTCGCATTTTCCTACGCGCATATTGAAACGTATTCATCTACTCAAATATAATAGAAAGGGTGACGGTAAGGGATACAGCCTATAGAATATTTCTGATAACGATCGTCATCACGTTTGCACGTTTTTTGCAAAGTGAGGTCTACTACACCATCAACGTAACTACACCCAGTCCCGCCAGTCCGCGTGTAGAGTTAGCATAGCCATTTAGTATGCAAGTAATAAAATAACGACTGATTCAGTACAAAGACAGAAACTTGGTTGGCTACTGAACCGACCAATGGTTACAGAAGATGTGACTTGGTTAAAAACAATATAATTTAGTATAATAATAGCTACTGTCTCTGTACTAAGTCCACGAAAATATTAAAAATGGATTATAGGTATCTATGAC